TGAAAGTGTAAAGACTTTATTAGCAAAGAAGTATAAAACTTCTTGCGAATATCTTTTTTGTGTGTGGTTAGAGGATCCTACATAATTGCTTATTTATGTTTATATATAATCTATATTTAGGTTATAGATAAATCTTTCTGAGATTGTTATTGTTTATATTTTTTGATTGGATAATATGGAAAAATCTTGTTGTATTGTTTTGATATATTTATTTATTTATATTGAAAATCCTATTTAAATTTTACAAGTTGTTATTATATTTGTATAAAATGATAATCAATTTGTTTAAATTACAAGTTATATGTATACATGTGTATTTTATTTGTTACTTTTATGTATATACTTGTTTTGCTTGTCTACTTTTTATATATTTATATTTGTATGATAAGGTAGAGGATAGGTATATTGTTTATATACGTATATATATATATTTAGATTGTCTTGTCTTTAGAAAGCTTTGATATTCTTTTGGATTTTTGAGTAACTGAAATAACTTGATTTATCAGATAAACTTGATTGTTTTTTGGGTTCCTTATAGTATTAAGAAAGATGTTAACCTGTACTGGCCTGGCTTTAAGCTGTGTAAAGTTGATATTGGCTCTCTTTTTTTAACCATAAATTAGTTTACAGATCTTTTTTCTTTTTTCTAAAATTTTTTTAAGAAAAAGCAATAAAATAAAATTAGTAAAATAATATATATCTCTTTCCTTGGTATTTTTAAATAGCTTATTATATATATGTTTAAAAAGCTTGATAGTTGATTTAAAAAATACTGTATGTTGTTTTTTCTTGTGTATTTGAACAGATTCACTTTTTTCAAAAAAATTATCAAAAAAAGAAGATTAATGAAAAGAGTTTTTTTTTTTGTTTTTTTTTATAACTAATAGAAATTTGTGCATATTTTAAAAATTAAAATATTTTATATTAACCAATTACATTTGATAAAAATTTATATTATACAAAAATTAAAGTCAAAATAAGGTAGGTAAATTTCATAAAAGATTATAAAAGTGAAAGCTTTAAGAAAATTAAACCAAAAAAAAAAAAAAAAAATAAGCTATTTTACTATAAAAAACATCTATAAATCTTCTTGCTTCAAAGATTGAAAAGGTTTTCTAGTATTTTATAGTTAGTTTTTCTTTTTTTAGAAACTTTTTTGTCATTGGTATTAAAGATAAAAATATTACTTGATTTTTTTTTATTACTGAAAGTCAAGTTTTTGAGTAAAGAGATTTCTAAATAATAAAAATAAATAGAGATAATTCTTGAAATCATATTTCTAATTATTTTAATGAAAGTATTGGGATTTATTAATAAATAAATGAAAAAATTTTTGCAAATATCTTTTTTATATATTATTAAAGAATTAGTAAAAAGAGTGTTTTTTAATTTATTTGTATATATTGAATACTATATTTATTATAATTTAATAGTAAAAAGATAAATCATTAAAAATTATTTTTTTTTTTCAAAAATCTAAACAGTATTTTATTATTGTTTAAGTATATTTTACTAAATTATAATATTTATGATATAATAAAATCTTTATTTTTATTAGCAATTTGTATTGTTTTTTAAAAAATATTAGACATAAAAATTAAAAAATCAAATAGTTTTATACAATAATTATTATTTCAACATTTTTAGTTTATATAGATATCATTGAAAATACATATATATTTTTTTGTATGAAATGATTAATAAAAATTTTTTTTCAAAAAAATATAAAAATTTTGAAAATTTTTCCTTTGAAGAATTATTTCGTTTTTAAAATAAACTTGGGTTTGGTTAAGAAATAAAAATTTATTTAGAGTCAACTAAAACAAAACAATGAAAAAAAGGAGATACAGTAATGGAAAAAAGGTTTCATTTGAAAAATAATTAGCATACAGTAGTCAACAATACAGTATTTATAATACCGTATATAGTATATAGACATTTTTTAAATGAACATACTGTATAAGTATATGCGTACTATTATTTGCGCTTCAGATAAGCCGATTTAATGTCAATGGATAATTATTTCAAGAAAATCGAGTTTTAGGGTGCTTTTTTATCTCCGTATTTCTTTCTCTCTCTCTTTTTTTTTTTTAGTAAAAAACGTTCGAAATTTAAACGATTACGAGATACTGGGGGTTATATTCGCCAATCTAAGGGAGTTGATGATTTCGTAAGAGAAGAACGCACAAATTGTATACAGCATGTTCTTGTTGACTTTTTTCGGGAAGCTATCGCCGGTTCACCGAAAAAAAAAAAGAACCCATGATTTATATTTAGGACTTAAAAAAACCCGTATATGCAGTATATACACTATTGTAAATGACGATAAAAATTGGATTAATCATTTAATTAATTATATCCAAATGGAATTCATGCATATGCGCATGTACATTAATTTTATAGTTGACTTTTTATGCAAAAATTTATTAACGCTCATATAGTAGAAAAGACGACGGTCATGACACATTATTATATTAATGTGCAAGCATTCTTGTCATAAAAGGTCAAGTGAGGAAAATCAAAAGTTGGAATTGAGGAAAAAAAAAAAAAAAAAAAAAAAGGTTCTCAATCACGAATCACAAAACTGAGAATACTAGATCACTCGCTCAACTTCAACTTCAAAATTACACACATCTTCGTCACTACTTCGAACATTAGAAATTAAAGATTACAGATTTAAATATAAAGTTTGCCGTAAAAAAAAAAAAAAAAGGGGGGGAGAGTATTAAACTAAGGATATAACGTAATTGAAATCGTAATGTTTGTTCCAACGGAAGAAGACCTCCTAATAAGGTTCACTTTAATATGTACAAGTAATTACAATTTTGAAAATATTTTACAAACAACGTACGTCGATCAATACAATTGAGGAAGTAGAGTCGGTACGTTGGGCACAAGTTATTGACATTGACGCAATATCAAAAGCGGATGTGCCAACTGATAGTGATGACACAAGGTTTTCCGAAAAATCCGCAACCGCGAACAAGGCCCGGATTCCAAAGTCCAGTTGAATAGCATATGCATGTACCAGCATACAAAAGCTTACAAGGGCCCGTCATTGTAATAATCTATAGTGTCATCGGAGATGAACAAAGATAAGGCAGGGACTTTGATGTGAGATTAGCGGACACAATTTTAATGACGGAAGATAAAAAAATTGGAGAATGTTACCAACCTTCTTTTAAGGTTATACTCGTGGAATATATACCCTGACTAAGTAGGTGCATGTAGTATTGTGCGGTTCATTATTTTGGTAAAGTGAAGGATCGAGATTAGGTATTTCAAATAGTCATTGTAAAAAAAAGAAGCAGAGAAATAATACTCTCTACAGGTGACAAACCAAAAAAGAAAAAAAAAATACAGATTTGAAAAAAGTACTTGTACTTGTTCTCTTTTTTTTTTTTTTTTAATATTACACGTGTGTAAACGGTGAGAAAAAGGGAACTGATAATTACAAGATTAAAAAAGAAAAGAAAATAGATAAGTATTAAGGGAAAAAAATTCAGCGTTCAATTTTTTGTACAAAATTAGTGTTTTGTTAATCATAAAATTCAGAAGCATATATATTGAATATGTATGATTATCAAGTAGCAGTATTAATTAAAATTAAGTATTGAAACATATTAAAAGTAGGGGGGAGGTTGAAGGGTTGGGGGTGAGGTTTGTCTTTTTCCTCGTGTGACAGGCAGACCGAAGGGTATCGCGCGTCACTTGCCGAATCGGGGTTTTCGGACGCAACAAAATTCTTCCTGATCCTGTTATCGTTTGAAACGTGACGCGGACGGAAGGTGCAGATGGATTTTGGAGTCAAAAAAGAAACAAACATATAAATCAATCAATGAACAATAATATTCTTATGCAAAGAGGATCAATTTCTTGATTTTTAATATACACTTGAATTTTTCCTTATTTACACTAGCTTATTAGCTACTAACGTTGCCAAAACATCTCTCCCCCCCCTCCTCCGTTGCCATCATCCTCACTATTACTACCACCACTACTCTCTCTCAACCCCAACCTTTTTACTAATCCTACCGATTCTTACCCTAATTACGGATTCCCAATATTCCACTTGTACCAGTCCTTCTTCAATATCATCGTACCTAGTCGCTCTTCTCATGCGACTATCTCTTCTCAAAATTCCGCAACTTTCCCTTCTTAACACTCCGCTATCGCGTCTGAGCAAGTTGCTGTCGCGCCTCATCGCGTTACTATCACGTCTCATTATGCTATCATGGGGCCTTGTAAAATCATCACTACCGTCAAATCCTTTTCTTATCGTTGTCCCGTTCTCTCTGTTCAACGTCATTTCATCTTCCTCGTCATCATCTTCAAACTCGATTCCGAATCCTCGTTGCCTTAACTCGAGTTCCCTCTTTTGCAATTCCATTTCTCTTTTGAGCAAGTCCCTCATCTCAATCTCCTGTTTGGCCCTTTCCACCAACTCTTCGCTCAGCTGATTCGTGACGTGCAACTTCAACACATTCAACTCTTTGCCCAAATTTTTTAATATCACCTTGAGATGTTCGTCATTAAAGCATCTCGAATTTCTGATCTCCAAGTATTTCAATGGTGGTTTCGAGCTTATCAGAAATTGATCAAGTGAGGATGGCGTGTACGACCACGCGGTGTGTAGAGAGAGCGACTGTAAATTTGGTAATTCCTGCTTGGAGAGCCGCACGAAGAAATCGGTCGCATTGATTTCAGGTGACCGCGAACCGTAAAGCGTGAAAGACTGGATGTTCGTACACAAGGTGAAGAGTGTATGCAGTTCGAAAATGTCGGTTGATTCAACGTGTGAGCCAAACTTGGTGAGGCGAGGGCAATGTTTTGCCACGGTTTTGAAAATGTTCGATGTGGCGTGAAAGTAATCCGGCAGGATTTCGTTGCTACCAACGGTGATATTCGACGACGACGACGACGATGATGATGATGATGATGGTGATGATGGTGATGGCGATGATGGTGATGGCAATGATGGTGATGACGGTGATGTGGTGGTGGTGGTGATGACGGAACTGTTGTTGTTCGGAAGAACTGATTGCTTGTATTGTCCAAGGTTGAGGGTGTGGATTTTTTCACATGAATTTACGATCAGCGACTCAAGGATGTGAACGGGCGCGGGTGAGTTTTCCATGATGAGGGTGTTTAGGTTCTCATATTTGACGTTCATCATCGAGTCCAGCAATTCATTGGTTAACCCGTTACACGATTTAAAAATCAGCTTCTCGAGGTTCCTACATTCGCCCAGGAAATCCAACGACTCCCAACCCCAGAATCGAATGTCATTGAAGGCGATCACCTTCAAACTATTGGTTTGCGATCTCAACGAATTTATTATGATGGAGGAGCCAACCTCACAGCCATGCAACTCAAATTGTTCCAGGGATTGCTGGAAGTTGATCAAGGCAGCTAAGCTTCTGGCCTCATCTTCACTTTCCAAATCATCTTTACGTGGTCTACCGCCGTTGGATGAATAGTCCATTGTCACGGAGATTCTCGTCAGTTGGTTGGAGACGTCGGCTAGTAGGTCAAATAATTTTCGTTTCGACTGACGTGTGGTACATATCAGTTCACTCAACGAAGACAAACACGAGATGGCGCCGGGATAGACCGGAAGCATCAGGTATTGTTCGGGTATGAGACGATGATTTGGAAATCTTTCCGACAAATGGGATCTCAACGAGGAACAACGGAATTCGTTCGCATTCTCCGGACGGGTAGAATTCGTTCGGTCAATTGACAACTGCCTGAGGGTGGAGCATCTCCTCATCAACAATCTGCACAGCATCTCGGTGACCAATCGTTCCCTCGGATGAGTCATATACGAGGGACTGTTTGGTGATGTTATGATGGTGGTTGGACTTGACGGTGTCGAAGAGGAGGTCGTGTGTATCGTGTCGAAACTGCTTGCGGTACTGTGCTGACTCGATTCACTGTTTCTCCGTGATTGATCATGGCTGCTCTCAGAAGTCCTTCGATGATTGTTTATCGTCTTGGTGATGAATCTCACGACATTTGATAATTTAAATCTCTTTAATGAATTCTTCTTTTTCAGTTGCCTATTGTGGAACTCCATCATTTGCCTTGTCTCGCCGTCCAACCAACTAAATCCACCGGTGGTCATAGCATTTATCCCTCCTGGATAGCTACTACTCAAGATCGCCGGATTCCCTCTGTTCAGACTTCCCTTCCTACCGCCAATCCCGTTCAACGCATTCAGCGTGTTGTAATAGTTCATATTGATGCTCTGTGATGTGCCATTAAGCACATTCGCATATTCCAACCAATCCTTGATAGCAGTGTAGAACTCTTCCAGATCCAGACAGCGTATGAATCCCGCGTAGTCAAATAACGGAGATTGTTGTATCTCAACCGGTAATATAATTCCGTTTTCCATCAACAGTATTTTTTCTTTTTCCGACAAACAGCTCAGATAGGTCTCGATCAACTTTGAGCTTCTTATCAACCTCGTGTCCTCGCAGCAATTGCATATTTTCTCGGCTGACGGAAAGACGGTGTGTGAAGAGGATTTATTGGTCGTGGTCGATGCCCTTCGATTATTATAGGCGGATGATGATTTCGCGGTGTATATCGAGGATTTTGTCGAGGCCGAGGAGGAAAACAGGTGCCTTTGCAGCGACGTAGAAAAGATGGTTTTGTGGCACGTGTAGAGGAAGTGGAACGGTCTCGACCACAGGAATTCCACCGAAGTGGCACACCATAGGCGGTTCACTAGCAGACACGAGTATAAGGATTTCTGATCCGTTAGATTTTGAAATATTTGGCATAAACAATCAGCTGGTAGAAATGGTGCCATATTTCTTCTTATGTTGTTGGTATCAATATAATCAATGCTTAATTTTCGTAGGCGAGATTGTAGTTATAGAAATAACTTTTTTTTTTTTCCTTTAGAGAGGTCGTGTCATAAAAAAAGTTGAGTTTTAGATATACAAAGTTGAATCGTTAACAGATATGGAAAGAAAAGGTGGTTTGTTTCACTTTGGCACGGTAGGCAGACGTACCAAAAAAAAAAAAAAAAAAAACTTTTAAAAAAGTTAGAGAAACCAGAAGTCAATAGGATGCCAACGTTAATTTATATTTTTTTTTTTGTGTAGCCGAGACAAACATCTGAAAAGTGTAACCTCCAAATTTTCTCGACTCGGAAATTACTAAAATGACAATAAAAAAAAAAAAAACGAAAATATACTGTCTTGCAGTCGAGAACGGTAAAATTGGTAAACAAAAAAAAAAAAAAAAAATTTTTTTCTCTACTCACCTCCTCGTCTTATTATATATAGAGCGAGAAAAAAAAAATTTTTTTTTTTTCAATCAATCAACACATAATAGTCTAAACAGACGAATTTAGAGTACACTCATTATGACTTTATATATACACTTTAATCTATTAATTTATAGCTAGTTTATCAGTAGTTTATTTCTATTCTCCATTCTTCTAATTTATACTACTGCACTTTTTTTTTTTTAATGGCGCATCTTATTAATTACTCTATTTATTTATACTGTGATACACAATTTGATTTCCCGAAAAAGGATTCACATTTTTTTTTTTTATTATTATTGCGTACGCGATATGAAATGTAATGTACGTTATATGTGTGTATGTATGTATGTGTGTATTATGTGATTATGCGTCTCTCAGATATCCAAAGAAGTTATTAAGTGGAAATTCGCTCGCCTTAATTTATTTATTAATGGTTTTTCGTGAACAAAGTGAAGGGTGATTGGTTGGCTGTGGATTCATGTGCCGCCTGCTGCTCGCCTACCAACCGCCGGTCGTGGCAAACCCAAAATATTTGTTCTTCAGAGTTGACTTACGTAAATAATATAATAATAATAATAATAATAATAATAATAATAATAATAAAATCAAAAAGCCAAAAAAATTATACACATATATTGATTCATCATTATAAAGTGTGATGCCAATGGCACAAAAGGGGGGGGGGGGGAGAGAGAGAACGAGAATAATCAGATTCCTTATTATTCTCGGTGATTCCGGTGCGATGATGATGTATTTTTTTTTTTTAATGCTTATTTTGTTTTAGCGCACGAACATCCATCACAATAATCACTAATGGCAAAGCGCGGAGGGTTTTGAATCACTAATTACGTACGTAGCCAAGGCAGCCTCTGCGCATCACGTCTGAAGCATACATAGTGTGGATATAAGCGCATGCAATGAAACCAATTTTACTTTATATGTGTTCATTGTGGTTGCTGGACATCCACTGATTTTACGTAGCCCGCGCCTTCAGAAGCTGGGCCACAAGGTGGCAAATTCATTTGGACTTAAATATTTTGCTGGCACACGTCTCGATTGCATCAGACGATGACACCAGAGGGATTCTTACTGCGCACCCCGCTCATTGCACCTGGCGATGCCACTGCGAGACCTCAATAGGAGGCTTCTCCCTAGCCTCGCGTTTTCTTCCTTACCATTGCAATCAACAATTGCAGATACAGTGGTTGCGGTCACGCACATGCAACTAACCTGATTCGTCGTTGTTGTCAATTATGCAAAGTCGAGGAAAAAAAAATGGTCAAGGTGAGAAATTATCGACGATGCGCATGAAAGGCAAGCAATAGTCGGGTGCATACTATGCATAAACATCGAGTAGTATATAACGTCAATGACTACGTACGCACATACAGCATGTACATTCTGTACACTACTTACGATAATAATACGACGACACAATACCTACCCACGTACGTACATGTTAACCCGCTAGGTCATTCCTGATGGTTCGGTTGGCTCGTCTTTCCACGATAGGCAGTTTCGAAAAAGAAATTAACGGATGTGCATGTAATCATGATTTGTAATTTTTTTTTTTAAAAAAAAAAATCCTCTTCAGAACGGACCGCCGAGAAATTAAGTAGCATAATGGGAATGAAAAGGAAAGGGATTATGTGAAAGATTGCAACATTAAGAAATCCCTTTTTTTTTTTAAAAAAAAAAAAAAACTTTCATTTTCACGCCAAAATAGTTTTGAAGTCGGTGCATTCAAAGCACACCTTTACTATTTACATACACTTGTTCACCATAGAAAAAAGGGGACGAGGATAGGAGAGAACGAGATTGAAACAGGGAAATAATGATCTGGAACAAAATACGCCTCGGAAATAACAATTAATCACTGCATTGAACACATCGATCCTTCATGCCTCGTTATATCCATCCATCTCGCTTTTACGCACAAAAGAAAAAAAAAAAAAGCGGGTCAATCATGTGAAAGCAAGAGATACATACTGTAAATGTACATATATGCTGAAATTTTTCATATTTACGATCGATCAAGATCTCAAAACCCCGTTCCTCCCTCACCAGCAATCCCCTTGTCCTCTTTGTGCACCATTCCGAAGTCAAAAACAAAGATCCTGCATTACGTAACAATAGGTGCGCAATTTATGACATAATGCATACCCTCTTATTCAAATCTGGTAAGGTACCAGTAAACGAACATCATAACTGAACGAAAGAACATTTTTCGAGATCCGATATGTGAGACAAAAATACTCTCCCTCCCAGGAAAACCTATCAGCACACGCCGTGACCTATAAAGATAACGTGCCGCATCGAGGATAAATATGAAAGGAACAGGTGTGGAAACTTCTCTTATCCAATGGCAGCATCGTCTTATCCTTAAAAAGCAATTTCGAATTTCCATGACAATCTCGCATCCTTATGCAATTGAGGTAACGTTTGAAAATCAACAAATAAAAAATCCCGCATTGGTATCCTCGCATAATTCCTCAAAACTCTTTTTTCCTCTTAACAAAGAGCAACGGGAGCATTAATTAAATTCGATGGAGTTGATTGATTCCAAGAATGGGTAACGCCTATTCATCCACTAATAATTACTTGCAGAAAAATCGATTTGTTTCTTTGTATGGCCGAGAATTTGAAGATCTGTTTTGACTGCCCATGATTTGTTGAATTCGGGTGTTGTGCAAGCTCTTATTAAATGCTATTCGGTGTCATCATTTCAGTAACACGCGTGCGACAACGAACGTAATGGTTATCCGAGGAGGAAGCCCTCATGTCACGTGCGTCGGGTTCTCCTTGGCAAGACAAAAGGGAGTCAACAGGGTTGCGGATTTTTTTCCTTCACAATGCTTAGGGAAGAGGGAAAAAAAAAGGAACAAGAAAGCCAACGATACCCCATGATCCGACTCGGAGAATTCAAAGAAATTATGAACGCATTCCATAATTAGCACCATAGCATGAGCTTTCTGTCTATGCCTGTGATTATTTGTGGTCAAATCGGGAAATACCTAGGATTTTCGCCGCACATACACTACGGCTAGGCTATGCCCGAAGGTGGTAAACAGCACTAACTGGTAAATCCAAATTCTTGTTTTTTCCGAATGCCAAAAGACCAAATTCAATTTCCGTACGATATCGAATTTCCGTTTACTCCTGCTATAATCGTTTTCGCGATTCCTACGATGGAAGGTTTTGCCCAATCAAAAGTTACACGCACTTTTGGACCATATAAATAACAATCCGCGCTCCCATTGACTATGTTATATCTGACGGACTCCTACATAATGATCGCTCATAATATTTGTACTTTAATTTATCCTATTTTAGGTAGATTAAATGGGTGGTGCCTTTTTTTTTTTTTTTTTTTCATTTTTCCCAATAAGACAACAGTCACTTGGGTGCGGATGAGTGTGAGGTAAGCAGGGATGGTCGGTTGGAGTTCTCTTGTTCCTCGGACTTGCTTTCTCACTCCAAACAAATTCCTATTACCCATTCACTTGTCGATTGCACGTGAAATTATGAAATTATTTTTGGCTCATCTAAATACACATGCATTACATATGAACCGTGTGACAAAAACCAAATTTTAGCTAGAATAATGAACTCAATCGGAAAAGACTGACCTCAGCGGCTGAACGAAAATGGATGCGTGGCAATCATCGATCCACCTCTTGTTCGTGAACACGGAGGAGGCGAAAGGTAAAGAAGCCTCAGCAAGCCATAAATGTGTAATCGGGCGCGCCAAGCATGAGAACAATCCTTGACGACTTGAACGACTGGGACATATACTATATATAATGTATATATATATATATTTTTTTTTTTCAAAAAAAAAAAAACCCCCACGCTCGTGCGCTCCATATGGATGGGAATCCCGTGTAATAATTGTCATCGTTACCTTAAATTCTGGAATATCTATTTGTGCCATTGCTTCTGGAAAGATGCGTGACTTTAATATACCGTATATACATATATCTCGAAAATAGAAATAAAAATAAATTAAAAAAAAAAGGGGGGAAGAGGTTTACAACAATCAGGAGCATTAATGAGTGCGCGCATGTCACAATTTCTTGATCGCAACTTGCACTCCAGAAGTTCACATTTTTCCAGCTGCACTCCGACGGTCAAGAAATCCAAATGGCGACATGAGTTTGCCATGCGCCACAAATCCTGTTTGAAACGAATTTCACCAGGTCAGGTTGAAAATTTTTGAGCACCTATACATTGCCACAATGAAACCAAGCAAACCTGGTTTCTATGAAGGGTAGACCACAAGTCATTGTAACATAACTTCCGAGACCCGACCTACTTTACTTTTCTCGATTCAATGCCACGATCTTAATAAATAGACCTTCTTTCTTAGCCTCTTAGCGTTGCTGAAACAGCCATCTCAGGGCACGATCAAATCGCGTTTTTGCAAGTTTCTCCTATCGAAAGTTTTCAAATGACATTGCCGCCAGGAGCATCACAAGCCACGTAAAATCCTATTTGTCAAAAATTCGAAGGTCTCAAGGCGGCCGTTTGAGTTCACGAGCGTCACCGGTCTCGCGTAAGACTCCTTTATCCATTTCCCTGAGGAATTCCTTGATACGCCCAATTAAAGCAATTTGTTTCCATTGATTCTCATCTTTGTGCACAGCGCAAATTTTTCATGCGTGAAACGCGTATGTGGTGGCTTCAAAAGATAACTCGGCTGGCGGCTACGCTATCAATTATGTCGGGCGATTCGATGTAAATTCTTAAGCCATTCAACAAGCAGCATCTGGTGAAGGGACGGGAGATCATGAACAACTTTGGCTCCGCGTAAATCTTGTATTGCGTGATTGATTCGGTCCCGAGATGAATTTGTTCACTTTTTAGGATATTCTGATGCCATCACCACTCTCGCTCATTGTCACCATAGACTGCGATGCTTGGATCACAAACAAACAAACAAACCAACAATGTATGATGGGTTCTCTATAGCGGTAGTGGTGACCACACACGGATGGATTCGATGCCATTATTGTTTACGCCACGTCACGTAGTTGAACGCATGTGGGCATTCGTCCACGTAGCACGTACGTGTTTCCCGAAAGGCACGGACAATGGTGTCGCCATTACCATTCCCTCGACGAGATACGTCTTATACAAGAAGTAATTCAGGTCCAACGATAGCCGGTATCACGTCACGTCACATTAACTTTTGACTTCGCGTACGTGTAAATTGCATTGCGTAAATACTCCGAGAACGCTACCTGTAATCTTCCGAGCGCTGGAACATGCTTCCTGAAATGAATTCAACCTCTTGGGCGATTTTTAAATTACGTGGCGAAAGTTTTTGTATGAAGTGCTACGAAATCCAACTCATTGTCAGGCCGGTCCGTCACTTAATTTAACCTTGTTTAGGCGTGGGAATTTTTCCTGATAATAAGAATGAGCCAGCCAGTTGCAACAGAGTTCCGAGATGAGTTCCTGAAACACATACAGGCAAACATCCCCTTTCTCTCTAATTCATCCGTCGAAAAATGATAAGGCCATCATACTGTAAGTCTTGTCGGGTCATTCGACTCAAGCCCAGCCGAATCTCAATATTTAACATCCCACGCCACCAATTTGACCTTTTCCGAAGGGACGCCACATTTGACCGTAGAGGAGAAAGTTTGCATAAGCCATCCATTGCCTTATGCTTTGCCGACGCCGGCCGGTTTCAAATAATCCTGTGATCCTTGGTTTGAAAGAATGTCAATACAGTGCTTGATTTGCAATGAATTCCTAATTCGTTATTCAAATGATCGCTACCTGCAATGTTATTTCATAATGCTATTATCTTTGAAACACATCATCATTTTACATATTGTCATCGTCTAATCTAAATACAATGGAGAATCAAACAATAGAACTAATTCTTTTTATCTAGTCGGAGATACTGTGTCTTAAATCAACATTTAACTCGCTCCTCAATAAACAAAAAAACCGATTACATACACTAAAGCGATTTGTAATAGTCTTGCATCACATTGTGTCAATTAACACTGATTAGGCAAAAAAAAATTTTCCCGATTCTTCGTAATATTGAGATGCGTATATATGATGCAAGAGTCACCATGTCACGATACTCAACTCAAAAATAGTTATCCCACAAACTGGATTCATATGATCCCAAGTGTGGTGTCGAGACATCCATTTCATTTCATTTCGTTTCTTTTTTCTTTTTCTTATTTTGTTTTTCCTTTTGCCTTTGAAGTGTCACGACATTCATCCATCCACTCATTCATTCATTCACCTCTTGAAATTCGGGTCTGGCCCTGTCAGCGGCTCTTATCTCTAAAGATGACATGACCCAAATGGAATTCGATGTAATCACATGCCTGGTGCCCAACTTCCTTTTCTCACGCAATTCCCCTTGCGCAGTCACACTTTTCTTTTCTTTTTTCTTTTCTTTTTTAAGTTCGGAGGAAGAGAATGAACAACCAAATCAGCTTAAACCATATAAGTCAGTCAAGGAAAAAAAAGTTTCTTTTTTTTTTTTATATTGTACTTTTTTTTCTTCGCTCCGTTCAATATGTTTAACACGTAGCCAACTATAATCTCTATTTGAGGTGTCATGAAATTTACAAGGCGCGTGACACACCCTCCTGACAGAGAGTCAGTAAGTTGATGCCACTCCGTGTAACCCAAAAGTACATCGATCATGATCAAAATCGTGATTATTGAAAAGCCGAAATTGGTGATTTTCTTTTCTTTTCTTTTCTTTTTTTTTTACAAAGGCTTGAACCGCGCAATAAAAGATACAGATGCTCTAACATATATGGTGCATGATATGGCTATGATGAGCGCAAGTGGTATTTTATTTTGATATGACGAATTGCCAAATTGGCGATTGGTCTCGTCATTGGATCTACTAGATACGTGAGATGCTCCATTGATTCTTTATTCATGTTCCTTCGAGTGTCGAGCCTCGAGAGCCTCTGTCGAGTTTCAATTTCTTCTCACGCACATAAAATTTTTTCTTCGCCGGGGACTTAAATGCAATAATTATATTACTCATAAATAACGAATACATTGATTCCAAACATCCGCATATGATGGACACACCTATTCCAAAAGTGGTTCCATTGAGGCCCCTTCCGTCACCCAATTTTCCCTATGGAGAGTGAAAACGCAGGAGAATGTTGTAATGTTTCGCAAAAAGAAAAAAAAAAATTTTTTTTATTTTAATTATGGCCAAATGACATCAAGGAACAGGGGAGCGCGAGTAATTGGCAAGGGAGATCTGAATTTAACGATCGACGCAAAACCCCTTCCGACGTTGAGGATTAGTCATGTGCTCACCAATTTTTCTGCCTTGTTTACAAGATAGGTTCGTAATTGTAAATATTTATAGATTTCATGTGATTTGTTTACATCACATACTCATAATCCATTGTCTGCGCTTTCCTTGTATAGTCAGAAATCTTTAACAAGACTCACCTGACACGAACATTCAAATTAGAAATGTCAACACTTCGCCTTGGTATGGATCAGGTGTTTGCATTGAGAGGACTGTGATGTTGTTATTATTGTTGTTGTTATGATTGATTTTTTTTTTTTTGACATTTGCTCCTTTGTTGTCTTTATCTAATCTATTTTTTGTTCATTGACGTTATCTCTCTGTTCAACTTATCATTCGCAATCTCTCCCGGAATGGGATCAATGATTTAAACAAACACCCGACTTTATCGAACATTCATAGTTTAATAGCATTTACTTATCATGAATTTCCATGTCGGAGTTTATTGTGCGATTTCGAAATGGGAATGATCTACACTGTGGTATTATCAATAAAGTTATCTAGCATATACGGTATAGGGTATCTAATGAACATACAAATATAGCTTGCAGCAGCTCGAGCCAAAATCTTTAAACGAAAGCGAATAAAAAAATATCCTTGCTTGGTTGCAGATTAAACTCAAGAGCGCGAGGTGTGATTTGGTGATTAATAAAAGGTGAAATTGACACATACTGTACATGCGCATTCCTCTAAACGAGAGGTGCTTGACGCAGTGCAGCTTTTCATTATGTCGATTGTTGATATTTTAGTATGTATAGAACTATTTTTCTTTAAATAATTAATAATCATTGTATTTAAAAGGAAATATGCAACCGGTTATAACTCGATCTCATTAAACACTTAACAAATATGAAATTTTATGCAGGGTGGCACCGAGGAGTTGTCAGAGATTGTAGAAATACGTCACAGGTTTCACAGGCGAGAAGGATTTGGCATGGTCTTGTGTCTCGAGATCGATGTGTATAGAAATCAGAGAAATTTGAACCATGTTGAAAATGGATATGAGATCGGAAAATTATCTACTGGCAAATTGATAGGCCAATACCTACGGCATTAATCTCTTACGACATCCGTGTTGCCATCGGCGGTACTATGGAGTACGTGATTGTTTACAGAGAAGGGGGGGGGGGGCAAAAACCGTTTTGCCCTATGATGGGAGAGGGAGGGAAGCATCAGATTATGACACCGATGACGCACATATTATAAATCATGAGGATTTGGTTAAAGAGGTATAAACACACAGGTGGGTAGATAGATAACTCGGGATAAACAGTCATACTGTATGTCGGCTAAGGGATCGTTCTCCTCTTTCAGCAATCTCTTTAGCCACTCCGCTTAAGATTTCACATCTGTATGCTACTCTGATGGTGTCCATTAATTGCTTCCTTTTTTTTTTTTAAAAAAAAAAAAAAAAAAAAAAAAAAAAAAAGGTATTGTTTTA